CTGAAAGATCTGAAGGTTATATATTTGAAAGTGTCTATTTGTGCAATCATGGAAGGCAAGTAAAATATCAAATTATTTTCAGGAAAAGGAAACGGAATCCTTTTAACAGCAAGCCAGTGTGATTTGAAAACGGAAATACTTTCCTTGAACATTTAGTTACAATTTTGCAACATACTATAATAGAAAAACAAATTTACAACAAAAATAACAGAAATTAGGGCCTTGTAGCGTGTCAAGAATTTCCAAATTGTGGACTTCTCCTGTTTTGTGGCTTATTCTTCAGTTATTCATTTAACACAGGGAATTCAATAGTCATGGGTGTTTTTGTAATTATTTTTTATTCAGCAGTAAATAATTGTTGAGTACTAAAAAAAAGATACGTGATACACCAACATGATTTTTAAAGTCAGAGGAAGTAAGTGACTCAAAAATATAATTTACTGAGTGATCCAAAAAGTGGAAATGTTATAGAAAAAAAAAAAAGCAATTAGAAAAGTTAAAGTCTCCATTGAAAATGCCATCAAGGGCCGTGCGCAGTGGCTCATGCTTGTAATCCCAGCACTTTGGGAGGCCGAGACGGGCGGATCACGAAGTCAGGAAATCGAGACCATCCTGGCTAACACCGTGAAACCCCGTCTCTTCTAAAAATACAAAAAACTAGCCGGGCGAGGTGGCGGGCGCCTGTAGTCCCAGCTACTCGGGAGGCTGAGGCAGGAGAATGGCATAAACCCGGGAGGCCGAGCTTGCAGTGAGCTGAGATCCGGCCACTGCACTCCCGCCTGGGCGACAGAGCGAGACTCCATCTCAAAAAAAATAAAATAAAATAAATAAAAAATAAAAAATAAAATAAAAAAAAAGAAAAGAAAAGAAAAGAAAATGCCATTAAGATCTGATGTATCATATTTAAGATTTAAATAACTAAGTATAATGATATTTAAATTATCTAGACAACAGAAAAATAAATGGCATTCGGCTAAAATCAATGTCTGAAGTTAACATAACTTGAATGTCAAAATCTGATATATAATACACGGAAAGTTATAGATTAATCTTATTGTGAACATATATGCAAAAGTTATTCTGAACACTAGTTAAGAGACCTCAACAATAAATCAAGAGAAAAATACATTGCTACAAATGTTTTCCAAAAAGTTCAAGAATAAATCTATATTAAGAAATGTATTACTATCAACAAATTAATGAAAAAATGTGTTCATACTATTAGATGAAAGTCGTTTACTAAAATTCATAGCTTTCCTTTTTGAAACTGTAAATAAAATAGGAATAAAATAAAACTACATGTATTTACTACTACTGATTTCCAAATATCTAGAGATAATATTTTTCTAATTTAAGAAACGAACATTATGCATGTGCTTTACACACAGAACTTGAGAATGCTAGAACTCTCAGCATTATTATTTGACATAGTTTTGAAGGTCACAACAGTGCTGGAAGACAATAAAATAATTTAACATTAATCAGATAATTTTTAAGTCATCCAGGTTCATGAAAATTGCTATATCATTTGTTTACTTTATCAATAAGTACCTAGGAAGTTATAGAGATAAATCATTTTATAATAGCAGGAAAAGCTGTGCACATGTTTAGAAATAAATTTGATAGTAGTATCTGGGAATGACATAGTGAAATTATAAAATTATATTAAAATGTATACAACAATTTAAACGTAATAACATAAAAACATGTCTAAGAATATGGTCATTAAGAATTCAGGTGATAAACATATATATTTTGACATGTTGAATGTATAAATGTCAATTCTCAAGTAATTTTGTATGGTTTAGATTACATTTGAATATAAAGAAAATAATGTTAAGGTATATATACAAAACAAGTTCCCTAGAATTTAAAAAAAAAAAAAAAAGAGTATTAATGGGAATTTATCATAACAATGACTTATAAAGCTATTCTGATTACATTAGTAATGTATTGACATAGGAATAGACAAAAACATAATTAAAACAAAATATCCAAGGCCAATTAAAATATAATTTGAACTGAAACTATAACACATTTGCTTTACAGGATTTTTATTGTCTTCCCTCTATATCTCTACTTTCCTTTTTATGCAACCAAGAGTCCACATTCATTCACTGTGTTTAAATTTTGTGTAAGTTTTTGATCCAGGGATTCTCATCCTTGGCAATTTGGGTCAAATAATTGTTGTGAGAGGGAATATCTTGTTTTTGTTTAGCAGGATCTCTGGCTTCCATAACTAGATATCTATAGCACACCTCATTTACCAGTGTAATGAATACACATGTTTCCAGACATCGCCAAATGTCACTAGAACTGGTGAGGGAATCATCCCTTATTGAAAACCACTGTCTTATTCCATTATTCAAAATAAGTTATTTCATACTGGTTCAAAAAAGTGTCAAATAAATCTTTGTTAAAGGTGTATCTGATAAAGAGTTTATCCTCCTGGTGTTTAAATATATTCAAAATAATCAAGAAAAGACAAAGAGCCAATTGAGTAACAAAAACATAAGCAGATAAATCACTAACAAGAAAAATCCCAAATATTAATATGCATATGAAAAATAACTTCAATGATAGGTATAAAATGAAAATAAAAACAGTGATATACATACTTATTGATCACTTAGACAAATCTAAAAATATAGGACAATAAGATTCCATTAGGACCACTGCCAATGATAGGGGGTATAGGCAAGCTTTCATACATCATTGTTGGTGTTTGCCACAGATTTTTGGAAAAGGATTTTAAGCAATACTACACATAGAAATCGGTCATACAGATATATTCTCATGCTATGTAAAGATATGTTGAATGATTTCAAATGCAGGCAAAAAACTGTAAACCACTTGGATATCCATGTATACAGAAATGAATGCACCAAAGTTTTTTAGAAAACTAAAATCTATTTCCTGGTGATAAATTGCTCCAATCACCTTCCTCTTTATGCAGGACATCACAGAAATTTTCACCTACACTCAACTATGCCAAGATCAGGGTTCTAAAGCCCTTGGCTCCCAAGATGCTTCTCATAAAGAGAAGGTAGCAGAGACTTGTCATTTCGACAAATTCTTCATATAAGACTTTAATTATTCCCTTTTCTAAAGGCTAAATGTTGCCTTTCCTCTTCAATGCTTTGCAATAGGGCTCTTGATTATCATTCTTTTAGGATGAGAATGTTGAAGAAATTTAAAACTTGTTTGGCTCCTAGCAACCCAGAAAAATTATATTCTTTGTCAATGAGGTCTAAGTTTCATAGTTTTCCACAATGAATAGAGCCAAAATACATATGGTACACAGTAAATCCAGCAATTAGACAATATGGTCTTTTGTCAGCCAATTGGATAAGAAAATGGGATTGGTGTCAAGATACATCTTTGTTCATTAAGTTCTGAAGATTATACGATGTTTGTGAAAATAAATATTCTGGCTAATAGGTTTTGTTAGTCTGGCTGCCTTCCATAGTAATCAATATTTTGATAGTAGAAAAAAAATTGAGATTAGTTCCTGAGGAATATCTTGATAAATGTTTCTTAAGCATTATTTCTTTATCTATACTTTGTCAATGTATTTTCTTAGTGTTATTAATTCTGTTATTTCTCTATCAATAAGTTGTTATGTTATTTTCCTTCTCCCTAGATAGTCATTAAATGGGTATTATAAATGAGGGAACAATTGAAGCAAATAATCGTATTTAATTTTTTAATGGATTCAGTAGCTTTTCTTTCTATTTCTTGTCTACTGGATTATCCATAATAGTACTAGAGCTATTTTGTTGCTGTAGAATCTATTTGTCATTTTATGAAAAGAAGAAAAAAGAATATTACTATACTTCTCTCTACCTTCTGCAAACTCTGTGTACACTTTATCATACAAAGGTGATTTCCATTACATTCTTCGCCTGTTTCCTTTACTTGTAACATCTTCCTTTAAGTTATCTTTTGTACTATGGTCACTCCAATTCGCCTAAATCATTTATGTGATTGAGATACTTTCTTATTTGGAACACTTAAAATACTTTATAGAAAAAAGTTGATATATTTAGACCTGTCTTTAAATGACTTTGCAGATTGATTCCAGTTTACCTTTTCAGATTAATTGATTTAGTCAATTCATTCAACACATATTTTCTAGTGCTCACATTGATCTTAATTCTATCCCAGTAAGGAGCTGACGTTCCCTTGAATAGGAATTACAGTTTTGTGTAACTAGAGGTGGAATATGTCTAGAATACAACTCTTGTTTTCCTTGCTTAATTTACTATAAAAACCATCTCAAAGATTCCTTTCTCTTAATTGTTTTCTGATTATCTTAATTGCAGAACATCTCTCCCACCTCCAGACTTTAATAGCACTCCCCTAGTACCAATTTTATGGCTTGTACTATTTTGTATTTTAATAATTGATATTTATGTCTTAGCTTTCTATTGTTAGCTACTGATAATCAAGAAGGGTGTTATATATCTGCTTCATATATAGCAGATATGCATGAAGCATTTGTTCAAAGAATTAATGAAAAAACCTTTCCTCTTGGTTGATGGAAGCCTAGTTTTTATTATGATTGAGAAGGAAAAATATTGTTTCCTTGGTTTTATATTCCAGTTTTCAGTCATTGCTACTTTATTCAGAGTAGCTTTAATAACTTTAATCTTGTTCCATGTTTTTCTCTTATATCTTTGAAAAAAAGATGTTTCATTATGTTATAATTAGAAACCACAATCACGATGTCTAATATTGTGATGGATTAAGAAGTTTGTATAAGTACTAATAAACAGTTTCTACCACTTTGGTATTTCCTTATGTATTGGGTAAATTTTATTGCATATTGTATTGAATGCATTATGTATTGTGTGCCTTTGCTTAGAGGGTTTTATAAATTAATGACTTTTTTTTTTCTTTTGTGAAACAGTAGAAAATTTTATTTTAAGATGAAAAAGAAAACTTTTTTTAACTTTTCAACTCAGGTGAAAATTTCTTAAATATATGTGGATGTGGATATTTATATTACAAATAATTAAGAAGCATGAACTGACATATCTTTATTAGTTTTGAAAAATGCTAAAATAAGATAGATTACTAACACGTAAGGGCTAGAACTAAATTAAGGCAAAATTAAATTTTTGTGTTACCATAAACATCATACCTTAACCTATATGTAAAATTAGATACACGGTTCCTATCAACTAGAAGCAAGGTGCGGAGAAACAATACGACCTGAAAGGAATTTGAGCTGCTTTTAGACATGGTATGTTAAAAATCATAAAGAAGATAAAGAATTATCTGACTTAGTGAAAGCTTGGAGTTTATTTGTTATGTGATGCCTGATAGCATCACAAACAGAAAGGAAGTTTCTAGTTCAAATGAGCAGTTTTGTTTTTAAAAATGTTTAAGGCTCAAAAAATCCATATATTCCTGAAATATTTTGCAATATTATGCTACCTCCTTCTAATGATCTTAATTTTAATAATATCAAAAGAATTAGCATTGTCTACCCTCACTGATTAGACTTATTGACAGTGGCCTCAACTTGTCTTCTAATAAGCAAGTTGTTCTCATGTTCCCATGTTTTCACTACAGTTACATGAGTGAACTTTTATAAGTGCTACAGGCGGCTAACTCCACTCCGGGTCAATTTTATCAGAAACTCTGGAATAAGTCAAAACATCATCATCATCATCATCATCATCATCATCATCATCATTTACTTGAATGACTATAATATAGTTGTCAAGGTTGTAGAGCCAAATGACAAATATTTTGAAATAGTGAGACAAATTGTTCTCAATCTTAAATAGTAAAATATTGTCAGATTACATTTTGTTATTCTTAGTAACCCATAGGTTCCCCCAATGTCAAGTATCAGTATCTAAAACATTCTTCAAATCAAATACATTCTACATATCAAGTAGATAAAAAGTGATCAAGAAACAAAATAAAATAGCAGAAACTATAGTTTTTCAACAGGTAGTTTTAATTCATGAGTGAGGAAATTCAGATTGATTGCTGGATGTTGCATCATCAATCTGAATCGACATCAATCATGGCATCGACATAGAAGGACATATTAACCCAAAACAGATTTTATTCAGTGCTTAAATAATACATACACACCCTCAAACTCACTTCTATCTGAGGATAGGTTGTGTATATTAGAAAACCTCCTTTGTATCACAAGCTTAAGTGCATGTATAGAGACTGAAAAGAAAAAAACAAAAGGCAAAGTAAGACCAAATAATGACATAATAGAAAGGATGAAAACAAAACAAACAAAAAATTAGTTAATGTGACAGTGTTAATTTAGATAAGAGTGATCAGGTAAGATATGTTTGAACAGTTGTAACCTAAACGATGAGCAGTAATCAGTGACTTGAAGCTCTGGGAGAAGTGCTGCACCAGAAAAAAAATTGGCAAAGTCTCTAGCAGGAAATTTTGATGTTTTTAAACAATAGAAATAAACTAAATATGAACAGAGAAGAGTAAGACATGGTAAGATCAAAGAGTGAAGCAGCAGCCAGTAGAGAAATGGTTTCTCAAACAGCTGTATTTTAATACGTATTCTACTTGTAAAGCATAAAAAATAAATTTGTTACATACTAGAAAGTGACCTCGGACCTCTATCTTTTAAATATATATCAATGAGGGCTTTCTTAATCCAATGAAAGTTGTACCAGGAGATAATTATTTTTTCTAGTGTTAACTGCTTCCATATAATTCCATATACTTGTCATTATAAATCCATAAACTCAGGATTATAAACTGCATTTGAAAACTGTATCTGGTTTTCTGTTTAGTTTACACACAGCTGAAATACATCTTACAAAAATGTTAAGTAGTTGGCAAAATTGAAAATTAGAAGATTCCATATAAATATATATATCATTTCATTACTTAAATAAAAAGGGGAATATCTGGTGATACAATCTTGAATTGTAATCCAAATAATCCCCATGTGTCAAGAGAGAGACCAGGTGTAGGTAATTGAATCATGGGGTGCAGTGTCCTCCATGCTGTTCTCGTAATAGTGAGTTCTCACAAGTTCTGATGGTTTTATAAAGGGCTCTTTCCCCTTTGCTCGGCACTTCTCCTTCCTGCCAACTTGTGAAGAAGGTACCTTGCTTCTCCTTTGCATTTTGCAATGATTATAAGTTTCCTGAGGCCTCCCAGGGATGCTAAACTGTGAGTCAATTAACTTATTTCCTTTATAAATTACCCAGTCTGAGGTAGTTCTTTATAGCAATATGAAAATGAACTAATATAACTGGTGACACTGAATCCTTATTTCTTCATTTCTATAAAAATTAAACAAGAAAGTTTTTGGACCTAAGTAACCGGAATCCCACTGAGCTGGCATTTGAATTCTCCAATTTACCACACTTTTTCTTTATTCATATATATAAATATATATCCTGCCTGACTATTATTGGCACTGATTTTCAGACACTTTTTTGACAAATGCCATGAGAAAGACCAGATAACAATATCCCTGAAAAAAAATTTAAACTGAAATCATATATATCAAAGAAGCAATCTCAAATAGGCAGATAGATTACTATCATATTTTGCTTAAGCAGTGTACTTCTTTCTTTTCAAGAAGAAAGTTTTGTTCACGGAATTCTGTTTTGCATTGTTCCATTTTTGCTCTTGTAGGTAATATTGCTAGGTACTAATGAGCTTGTCACTATAACTGAATTCAATTAGTCTTTATATCCCTTGTTCTAAGATTCTATTGTGAAAATCTTGTAAGTTGTGTGATGTCATAGGCACTTTGTGCAAGTAATAGCCAGGATTTTTCAACACAGGCCATCCATTTCATGAACTATACAGGATAGATAATATAAATAAGGAAGGAACAATCTTTCTACAATTTTCTCTCTGAACTAGCGTACAACACAGTAGACCATGTGTACAAAGTTTCTAGCAGCTAAAATGATTGTGTAACTATGTATTAAAATGATTATCATTCTCGCTAGGAGTGAAATCATTTTTTTTTTCCAGGACCACAGAGATATCTACTGTTGTAAACTTTACTCAGATATAAAACCTGAGGCCCACAGAATCAATTAATTTGCAAAAGAACAAATATTTTTAAAAAGTAGAGACAGCATTTGGATACAAGTGCTTTCTGGTATATCACCCTGTTTGCCAAAGGAGAGTCCCTCCCCTGAGATCTTATAACTCTTCAAATAGTGATTTTTGTTTCTGTCAGAACAGGCCACATTAAGGAGCTATATGAAACAAATCTAAATTTTAGTGGCTTATGATGAAGATTTGTTCTGATTTACTGTATATATCTATAGTGATTTGGCTATGGTTTTATTATTTATTGTGTTTTCTGAAGGACCCAAGTCAATGCAACAGTCTCTTTTTAGAGCATTTCTTCTGTCATCAAGGCAGAGCAGAAAGAAAACAATTCCGCGATAAACTGACTCTTCAGATTTCTGTTCAGAAGTGATAAATGAATGTCATATGTCACTGAACAAAGCAAATCGCTTGATGATGCCTGAGATGAATGATTGGTATGCATTATCATCTTACAGAGAGTGGTGCTGAATGTTTTGGAAAACATGTATTTTGCCAGAAAACCATTAAATGAATTTTGCCCCCACAAACATGCATTTAAAGATTACATACGTTAATGGAGAATAATCGAACCAATGAACATCACGTAATGAAATCTAAGAAGACTTTTAGAGTTAGACCAAAACTGCAGAGTGTAATCAAAACTTAAATATGTAAGTCTTACCAAGCTTGGGGAGAATTCTGACACTAGGAATCGTGATGAACCCTGGGCATAAAAATAGAAAAAACAAATGCTTGAACATTAAAATGCTTAGAACTTTTAAGATAAGCTTTAAAAATGTTCAGTAAATAACAAAATAATTTAGTAATATAAAATGTGTGGGTGCCTGGGGGAAAAATTGGAAAGCAATGTAGTGGGCATATTGCAAAGTTCTTTGGATGCCAACATTTTAGAGAGAACACAAACAAAAAGCTGTTATTCATTAATAAAAGCATCAACACTATCAACACATACTCTCAAGATGTGTGTTTTTAATATTTAAAAATGAAAACTTCTTAGCCCTGCAGTTTTGACACAAAGGAAAGTCACTGAACTCAAGTCTCTATGAATGTTTCTCTTTTCCAAATGAGGTTTTCTATTGCTAATCATTTTGAATGCCTGCCAGACCACTTGGACTCTCGATCGGCAGGACAACACAGATGTCTGCGTGCCATTTAACAGCTTTCAGGTGAAATAACATACGAGGCAAAAAGTAGAATTGACATCCAGCATACTGATGAAAAATAATGGACTTTTTATTCATCAAGCAAATAACATTAGAAGCAAGCAGCTTTAAAAAATTTTTTTTTTCTTGAATGTTTTACCATATATCATGTTAGAAAATTGTAAACTTCCTTTTGAGACAATTTAGCATTGTTTCTTTCCATAATCAAAGATGAATTTTTCTAGATTTAGAATGCTTCATGGATTTTATGAGGGATTTGCTATATTTTGTGCTTTAATCTTTTTTTATGACACTTGGAAACTTTGTTTTCATTTTTTTTTCCATTGCGTTTAATAAAACTTAACAGCAAGCAAAGAATCACATTTGCACATCACTGTTGATTGCATTAAAAGAGACAGCATATTCATTTCATCACTCTTTGCATATGTGTAGTGTTCCTATGTACCAGGTGGGCATAATTAGGTTGGAATGTGGTTTGGCTGACAAATTATTTCCTATTGGCTGCATGATGTCTCTGCTGCATCCCCATAGACAAGAAAACAAATGGCAATATTATTGAGAAGCTTTTGGAAAGTATTTGATAGGCAACCCATGGTTACGTTTATGCAAATATAGCTTTAAAACTCCAACGTTCTGAAGTCATATAATCAAGGAGAGCAAAGATGGTCTTCATGAGAAACTTTTCTAAAGTCAGCCAATAAAATTCCATTAAAATAAAAGGATTTGATAAATTTAATCTTGATAGTTGATTTACACAGTTGATCTTTTTCGTGGCAAGTTTGTATATCATTTACAAAGGAAAGCAGCTACATGTGACATAGTTGATATAAATATTCCATATTAACCCTGCAAATGACCCATTTATTTCATTTACAATGGAAGCAAGAGTCATTTGTTTCAGCAATTTCTCATGCTACCAATGACAAGCCATTAAAAAAAATTTTTTTTCAAAAGAATATTAAAGAAAAGAAGAAATACAAAACAAGATACATACAGAAATTATAAAACTCAATGGAAATAAATTTTGGAACTACAAGTGAATTGTTACTGTACACACAACCAGAGAATAAAATGGAATGTAAGGTCTTTTTCCAAATACTAGCATATGCTTAAGCTTATTGAGATGTATTTAGGAAAAGAGTTTTTTCTGCCAGTTTGGTTCCTAGTGAGCTCTTAATAAAAATTGTAACTTAAATTTAAGTGGAACGTTGGACTGACTGTAAAAGTTCCCTTGTTCAAAAATTTTCATATGTTTCAGAAATGTAAAATATTATAATTCTATAAGTCATTATTAAAGTCAAATCAATATTTTCTTGGTTATACTTTTACTGTAAGTTTTGTATAATATTTTATGTAAGATAACTTTATAAGCTATACTTATAGCAGGTTAAAAGAAATGAAAAACAGTACTAAAAATGTTAAGACATATTACTTAAGTGCCTAGATAAGAAATATTCCACTAAAATATAATATCTTAGTCATGAAATTAATAAATGTCTTTTTTGTTTCATAATATTGCTTCTAATTTTCAAAAGCAAGGAGACTGTGGAAAGTGTGATTTTCTAGAAATGGTGAAAATTAATCTTAAATAGTTAATTGTAATATATGATGGCAGGTTAGTGCACAAACTGGTTTCCAAACTTAAATCAAATATTTTTCTTGAGTTCTGTAAAGTTCAATCCATTTTAGTCATCGATTTTACAATGCTAATAACTTTTATATCTTGCCTTACTTTCATACCTATTAAGGAATTTCTTATTTATAGCAAGATCAATGACAATTGATACTGCTCTTCATTTTGAAATCCTTCCAAACAAGGCCTGAAACCAGGTATTGGGTGCAGGTAATTCATTTGGTTGATGATACCGGGAAGCAGAAGTGAGAAATTACACGAGAAAAACAGGGCTTACGGAAAGCCAATAAAGAACATACTGGGCCCGGCGCGGTGGCTCACGCCTGTAATCCCAGCACTTTGGGAGGCCGAGACGGGCGGATCACGAGGTCAGGAGATCGAGACCATCCTGGCTAACACGGTGAAACCCCGTCTCTACTAAAAAATACAAAAAAACTAGCCGGGCGAGGTGGCGGGCGCCTGTAGTCCCAGCTACTCGGGAGGCTGAGGCAGGAGAATGGCGTAAACCCGGGAGGCGGAGCTTGCAGTGAGCCGAGATCCGGCCACTGCACTCCAGCCTGGGCAACAGAGCGAGACACCGTCTCAAAAAAAAAATATATATATATATACTGATGAGTGAGTTATTGCTAGAGGTAAATAGACCTGATTCCTGCTAAGAAACTTCTAAAAACAAACGTCAGTATCAGCTCACATAAGGATCCCCAATGACATTTACTTCCTTCTCACAATGCCGTACTCCACCTACCCACCAATTTACTGTATTGAGGTGGATCAAGCTTCAGTGGAGATAAAATCTTCAGGCAGAGGAATCAAAAAAGGAGCTTATAGAATTAGTTAGACATAGACAGCATCTGCTGGAATACACATTGAGGGGATTCGTAACAATAATTTAAAGCACTGTTGTTAGAAAATAAAATTTGGTATCATCGTCAGAAAAAAAGAAAAGATAAGAAGAGTGGTTTTCTGTATCCCCTAAAAACTATATACACACACACACACATTTATATAATTAATACATTTTAAAAATCTAAACACCAAACATCTAATTTGTTTCAGAGACCTATGAAATTTACTTTCTCAATATTTATTGAGTTATTTTCTCTCACAACCTTTGACAGCCACTGAAATTTAGTTCCGATCATTTTTCATTGGAAAAATTAGAATATCATGTTTACCGCTTGACATTTTCTCCTGTTCCCAGTTTTACCTCTTATAATGCCATTATGCATTATCCTCTCAGCTATTTTTAAAAATATAACTATAAAGATGAAACTTTCCAGATTTAAAACTCTCTTTGGTTCTCCATTCTTCTGAAGGTGATATCACATACATAATTCTTTATTATGTGGCCCATACCTGCTTTGTCAATATATATTTTTTACCATGAAAGATGTTTTTCATATCGTATTTCAACAACAAATGTTATTTACTGAATACTGACTCATTTTATTTGCAGTTCTCTATAAAATTAATATATTTATGCCTTTTCATATGAGATGACTTCTCATATAATATGCATTTTTGTAGTAATTTTTTCTCTTTCTTCCTCTCCCTCTTTACCTCTCCCCTCTCTCACTTTCTTTCTTTTTTTTTTATTTTTAATTTTTGTGGGTAGATAGTAAGTGTATATATTTATGAGGCATATAAAATATTTTGATATAGGCATACAATGTGAAATAAGTACATCTTGAAGAACGGGTATTCATCTGCTCAAGCATTTATCCATTGAGTTGTAAACAATCCAATCACAACCTTTAAGTTATTTTTAAATGTACAGTTAAGTTGTTGTTGACGATATTCACCCTGTTGTGCTATCAAGTAGTTGGTCTTGCTCATTCTTCTATTTTTTGTTCCCATTAATCATCTCTACCATCCCTCCAAGCACCACTACCCTTCCCAGCCTCTAATAATCATCCTTCTACCCTCTATGTCCATGAGTTCAATTGTTTCAATTATTAGATCACACAAATAAATGAGAACATGTAATGTTTGTCTTTCTGACTTATTTCACTTAACATAATGACCTCCAGTTCCATCCATGTGCTTGCAAATGACAGGATCACATTTTTTTTTTTACAGCTGAATAGTACACCCTTATGTGTAAGTACTACATTGTCTACATCTCTTCATTTGTTGATGGACACTTAGGTTGCTTCCAAATCTTAGCTATTGTAAACAGTGCTGCAACAAACACAGGAGTGCAGAAATTTCTTTGATATAATGATTTCCTTTCTTTTGGGTGTATACCCAGCAGCGAGATTGCTGGATCATATGGTAACTCAATTTTTAGTTTTTTTAGGAACCTCCAAAGGGTTCACCATAGTGGTTGTACTAATTTACATTCCCACCAACAATGTCCCCGGATTCCCTTTTCTCTACATCCTCATCTGCATTTGTTATTGCCTGTCTTTTGAATGTAAACTATTTTAACTGGGGTGAGATGATACCTCATTGCAGTTTTGATTTTCGTTTCTCTGATGATCAGCCATGCTGAGCACATTTTTATATGCCTGTTTACCATTTGTATGTCTTCTTTCGAGAAATGTCTAATCAATTATTGTGCCCATTTCTTTGATTATTAGATCTTTACCCATAAAGTTGTTTGAGCTCCTTATATATTCTGGTTATTAATCACTTGTCAGATGGGCAATTTGGAAATATTTTCTCCCATTCTGTGGGTTGTCTTCATTTTGTTGACTGTATTCTTTACTGTGCAAAAGCTTTTTAACTTGATGTGATCCCATTTGTCTATGTTTGCTTTGGTCACTTGTGCTTGTGGGGTATTGCTCTAGAAATCTGTTCCCAGACCAATATCTTGGAGAGCTTCTCCAACGTTTTCCTGCAGTACTTTCATGGTTTGAGAGCTTCTACTTAAGTCTTTAATCCATTTTGATTTAGTTTTTGTAC